TCTTTAACAGGGGCAGTTCTGCTTCCTCTGTTTGTTTGTTTATCACACAACGTGCCTCATTAAAGGTTATTACTTTATTATTATTATTATTATTATTACGTGTCGTGGTTAATGACCATTGGAGGTGATAACAGAGGCACGTGTTACAGTCTGTAAAGCATCTAAAGAAGCTGTTCCTCTCCTGTGGAAGAGAGAGGGAAAAAAAACAAACAAACTTGCAGGACGGAGAAAGATGTAGCGTCTGTTTGTGTGTCAGTATTTGATGCAATACTCCACACACACACACACGAGAGCCTCCGTGTGTGTGCACTTCTCTAAGAGGGCCATTTGGAGAGCAGCAGGTCAATACACTTTCACAGGGAGTGCATTTCCCTGAATGCTTCAGCAGTCCGTAAAGCCGCGGTGCCACTTTCCACCGTATTCTGTTCACAGCATTAATCCATCCAAGGAAAGTGTCATTTTGTGCCGTAGGAGAAGGACGTTCACACACACTCTCACACACTCTCACACACACACACGACAGAGGCCCACGTAGACACACGTTTTCACGGCTTCAGTGGCAGAAAATCCATAGCCCTTTCTGGGAGGAGGAATTCCATTAGATAATAGATATGGAATCCATCTCGATTCCCCACCTTATCTTCTCCCAGGGTGAGGGATCAATACTGGGGGCTGAGGCTCAAACTGCCAACAATAGCAGGGAATTGATGGGCCAGAGTAAACAGAGTGCAGGGCCAGTAATGGCACTTTCTTGGCCACCTCTGTGATGCAAATAAGAGGGCGAGTTAATAGCCGAGCGGCTGCTTGTGCCGCGGTAATGAAGAAGAATAGGCGGCCATGTTGGGAGTTCATTAACAAACTCATAAAGGGTTAGGCTTTAGATATTGTTACTGGAGAAGATGATGCACCGTTACACAATGGAGAGGAGCGGGAGAAGGAGTTCCTGCACTGATACCTACTGATCTACACACACACACACACTCACACACACGCTGGTGTGTGTGTGCGCGTGCAGTAATGCCATCTAATTTTCCACAGCGCTGCAGAGGTTTCCTGTCAGAGTTGCCAGGTGCTGTGTTTATGGAGACCGTTGCCTGGCAACACATT